TGTATGCATGTATGTATGTATACATATGTATATAGACGCATCTATGTGTTCTTTGCATAGTTCCACCCAAATGCGCGGAACATGAAACCCTTAAATTCCCACGCAAAGTCTTGAATGGTACTCAACGCAGTTTAAAGAAACCGAACTTGATTGATGATTCTCAGAAAAACTGCCTTATCTAGATCTTCAATAAGTTCCAACTTGGAGTTCTCGGGGTGGGTTAGCTAGATTAAAAGAAGTAATGGCCTTGATCTTTTAGCCATCTACCCTCCGGCGACTAGGAGGCTAATTGCTGGCCGAGCTAGCCCAGGTGTGATGATGAGGGCATATGGTGAACCAAGAATTCGGACATCATGAAGCAGAACTGTGTTACTACTACATCGAGTATCCGAACTGAAGATCTGTTAGTGGGTGCCTGTTGGAGGGGCTACGATTTCCGTACACATGTGCATACACATACATTCTCGATACAATGGACTCTTCTCTCTGTTTCGGAATTGCATCATATCTGTACGGACAGCTTCCTGGTTGCCAATCTCCCTTCTGGTCACTTGTAATATCGTTCCATGGTTTGTTTATGTCGAGGGGCTAGCCTATACACAGGCACACACCCGGATTTCTACAAAGACACATGTGAATTGTCTAGTCACATCTGCGGCCCGCGGGAATGTTCGTTTTGAGAATAAGACATGTAATCATCCAGCCCTGTCTCCCTAGAGCCTATAAGCCCCAAACCCTAAAGTCCAAACCAAATCCCCGTCTCCCCCACAAAGAAGAGGCCTTGCGCTGTAGGGCCAGAGCCACGGACCGGCTAAAGACGCGGAAGTTACTGTTGTCCATGGGCTTCCAGAGCACCTCTGAGGTGTAGGTTTAGGATATGGGTTTAAGGGTTTAGGGTTGAAAGGGTTCAAGGGGTTTGAGGTTTGGGTTAGGAGAAGGGTTCAAGGGGTTTAGGGTTGAAAGGGTTGAAAGGCTTCAGGGGTTTAAGATTTGAGGTTTAGTTTTGGGACAAAGGTTAGAGGGGTTTAGGGTTGAAGGGGTTCAGGGTCAAGACTTGAGGATTAGGTTTAGGATAAGGGTTTAAGGGTTTAGGCACGCGCATGGGACGGTCTAGGGTGTAGGGTTTGGGGTTTTAGGGTGGGACGGTGTAGTAGGGCCTACTCACGTACAAAGCTCCCTCATAACCAGCTTGTGAGGGTTGTGCACGGCCCCGAGGCCCTGAACACCCTAGTTACTACAGTAAGTCCCCTAAACCTCCAAGTAGATTCAAGTAATTAGGAGGCTTATGACAGGAGTCGTTCGCGCTTAAAAAAGCTTCGTAACACCTGCCTAAGATCTCCCGAAGGCCTCCTCACGGTATCCTGATTATGCATCACCCAGCAGACCAACATTGAACCTCTTGGCTTGGATGCAAGCAGAGCGCGGATGAGATCAGCCATCGAATCAGGCGATCCAGGATGTAGTTCAAAAGAATCATCTGGCCTAGGATGGTGTGTTGGCCTCCACAACGTAAGTGTTGCTTTGCGGTGGTTTTGTATGAGGATATGCCATGTTTTTTGGTAAAACCTTTGGGGCTGGTCCTGAGATGAGAGGAAACGGCAGTACGAAGGCGCCGAACTCTTGAACCTGAAGCCTGAAGCCCGAAGCCCTGATAATCCCAAATTCCAGCAACAATCCTATGTTCGTTTTATTTCTCTCCACTATTGCAGAATCCAACCCTACATATCCCTATAAGGATACCGTAGGTCCCGGAGCCTAAGCCCTAAAGCGATCCTTCTGAAAGTGCTGCCCGAGAGCCAACCATGATAAACAGAGCAGGATCGTCCAGGGGGTTCATCCTTAGATAGCCGTTGGAGGTCTAGGGTGTGAGGCGGTGTGAGGCTTAGGCGGGGTATAGGGGTTGTACCTATAATGCCCATAAAACGGTGCCAATTATTTTGGGCTTAAGAACCTTTTTCCAGGAGGTCTGGGTACGGGTTAGAGTGCTGAGGTTTTAAAAGTAAGGATTTCCAAGCAGGGGTCCCGCTGAATCCCCGTGATATTAGTCGTGCGTAGTCGGGAATGGTGAACTAGGGCATGGGGACCATGATATGGGGTCTATGGGGACTGCTATAGGGATACATTTCCCCATTCCATACTATGCAGCAGGCAGATTCTTGATGCAGCCTCAGGTGAGGTCTCTCAAAACTGGGACCCCTTTTCTCACGTCCAAGAAACTCGGATTGCCCTATGGTTGCGGGAGATATGGGAGGAATTTCCTTGTGAATATGCAGATCTGGAAGTCTCAAATACAACAGTCCCGCAGTGCTTAGTAAACAGAAGCTCTGGGTTACAGGGAACCGAATGCGAATCGGGCCTTTTGATCATAAGCACTGCAGGGTCTTTCAGCATAAGGGTGCAACATTTGTGGGTGAATTTGTAGCCAAAAGTACTCCGTACCAAAATACTGTGTTGGATTGTTTTGTAACACCAGCTGGATCGCTACCTTCAAGTGGATGGGAACTTCAGCTTAGCAGAGCAAGCAGATACCAAGAGCAACTAAGACAATCTGGAGATACCATGCAATAATTAGATATGGAGGTTTCCCAAAATTAGGGATACCCTTTTTGGCCCCCCCCATACACAGCCATTTCTGAACAAGTAGATCCGTTATGCTCAGCCACGCCTTTCGCAGGAAGATTGTGATGGCAAGCAGGCCAACCAGCATTCCCCAGGTGTAGTAAGTCTCAATGAAGTAGAACCTCAGGGGTCAGGGGGTCGACCCTCATGACACCTCAGGGGTCAGGGGGTCGACCCTCATGACAGGAAATCATTTCAGGATTATACGGGCTAGTTGAAGCTACTTCGAGCAAAAAAGACCCTTTTTACATAGCTATCCGGAATCCCATACCCCAAAAAGTATCATGGATCCCAAAACATTGATCCAGAAACCTGAGGCGGGAACCCTGAATCCTAAATAATATAATATTCCATTATCCCAATATAGCCCCAATATTATACCCCTATGTAACCCTATAACATAGGATATTCAATTTTCTCTTCCATTATTCCAATATAGCCCCAGTATACCAGTAGCATACTGCCGCCGCCCTTCATTTCAGGGTTTAGGGGTTTATCATGGGTTCCAGTCGTACCCCCCTCTATACTACCCCCCCCTAGGTTCCCCCCTGAGTTAACCTTAATTTGGCCTAATTATCCCTAAATAACCTTAATTAAGGGGGGACCTTAGGGGGGGTAGTATAGAGGGGGGTACTACTTGAACCCATGAGTTTAGATGAACTTCCTCTAGGGATGCTACACTTCTCCTGGCAAGCCTAGGGGTTTAGGGTTGAGGGTTAAGGTTTCGGGTTTCTTTAGGGTTTAGGGTTTGGGTTTTATTTGGGGTTTAGGGTTTAAGGCAAGGGGGTGGGGGCACATGAGGCTCCACGATACTTTCAGGAGGTTGGACGCTTAGCGCAGCTAGGAGGTTGCTGCATGTGAGATTTAGTCTTAACTCCTAGCATGCCCCTAAATAGCCCCTATAGTAGTCTCTTGTATAATCCCCACCCCCTTTAAGGAGTTTAGACTATAGCTCACATACCATTGCATGGGGAAGGTCATTTATCAGCTACAGTAGCCCAAGATCCCGTACAGTAGCGGCTCAGGGTCGAAATTTACGGTGTAAGCCTTCATGAAGGCAGTCAAATCTTCAAGAAAAGGTGGTGTTTCAGGCACTATACTAGTTTCCATGTTCTTTTCCATTATCCCTATACACCCCTATATACCCCAAGGTAACTTATACCCCAAACCCTATACCAAACAACCTCCCACACGCCCCTAGTGATGAATATGTACAAAGCACATATTAAGTTAAGTTACCATGATGGTATATATAGTAATGAACATAGTTTCCCCAAGATAGTAGCTTAAAGTCACTTCTCAGTTTTCAGTTGAGTAGGGGAGGTTTCTCATCAGCATGACTGATGCAGTAGGGTGATGCCAGCCCAAGCTCCCCATAACAAGCCCTCATATGGAGGTTTCCCTAAATTACTGTTCCCAAAATAGGGGAAACTTATATAGGGCCCCGTATTATAATGGGAACCCAAATATAGGACCCCGTATTATGGGGAATTTAGACCAATACCCGTATTAAGACAAGGAAGCTAACCATGACAGCTACCTAGTCCCTGTAGAGCGCTAAATATCTTCGTGCCCAGTTGCGAAACATGGACCGGCAAACTGAGAACACCCGAAAAGAAAGTCTGCGCAACAGAGTACTTGCTGTATGTTGGGCTTCTTCACCATACCCTCAGGCTCCATGCAGGTACTATTTATCAACTCTTGGGCTCAATGTAGGCCATGTCTATAGGCTTAGAGCCCCAAGGATATTCAGGCAAGAAGAGAAACGTCCACTCTTGACTCAGACTCACCCGAGCGATAGTCTAAACTCCCAGTAACCCCCCCAATAACCCTCATAGTAGTCAATATATAATCCCATATAATCCCCTAAGTAACCCCCCTTTAAGGAGTTTAGACTATAGCTCACCTAGCCCTTGACTCCCACCGCTACAAAACAAACCCCCAAGTTGGTGAGCCGCGGCAACCCGAGCTTGGCGGCTAATGCCCAAAGGGTCCATGTAGGCAGGAATATAGTATATACTTAGAGCCCAAGGAGGGCCCCATATAGCTACCCAAGTATCTATCTACATTTTGTCGAAACACAGACATATATATATATATACATATAGAGCTACCTGGACCCGTTGAATGGCAATGACTCCTCCCTTCTTTTTCAGTTCATCGCATCTCCATGCTTTCCCTACGTAAGACCTGGACATTGTGCATCTAACCCTAGACATTAAATCCTAACAGCTAGGTCCTGAAACCCCAAACCTAAACCCTAAACCCGAANNCCTAAACCCCAAAACCCTAAACAGCTTAGCGGCTGGGGAGAGAAGGCCAGGTGGTTGACGCTCTGCAAGGGCTCTGCGATGCTTAGGTCAAGCCGGGGATCGTCGAACAGCCAGCCTCGAGCACTCGGGGTTTAAGGTTTAGGGGTTTAGGGCTTAGGGTTTAGGGGTTTAAGGTGACGAATACTGTCATCATTACTATTATTATGACTCTTCCCAGTACCGCAACGCTGGTCGTTATGGTGATT